ATTGGTCGCTTTAAATCCGAATCAGAGGATACCGTGAACCCGAGCCCCCTCGGGGCTCACAAGGAGAAGACCCGCGCCGGCTCTTTTCCTGTTTGATGACCCGTCGACGTAGAGGTTCCAGGTCGACAGGTTCTGAATAATTTCTTGCCCGACTTCGCTAGGCTGCTGCTCGCTTGGGAGATAGGAAAATTCCGAGATGAAGTCTGCAACAGCCTGTCCTTTGATAGTCGACCTGGGCTTATACTTTAGGTCGAACTGGCTCAACTCCATGGCCCATTTGAGCAGTTTACCCGAGGCCTCTGGTTTCTGGAGGACCTGCCTGAGAGGGTAATTCGTCATTACATTGATCGTATGGACATGGAAGTAAGGTCGCAGCTTCCTGGATGCGACCAGCAAAGCAAAAGCTAGTCGCTCCATCTCTGGGTACCGCATCTCGGCGTTTGACAGACGCTTACTTGCATAAAATACTGGCCATTGAGCCTTTTCCTCTTCCCGTATTAAAGCTGCACTGACCGCGAACTGAGACACGGATAGGTAGACGAGCAGGGTCTCCTGTGGAAGAGGCTTAGAGGGGAGAGGTGGCTTCCCAAGGTGTTCTTTTATATTATGGAATGCCTGCTCGCATTCGGGAGTCCACTCGAATCTCTTATTAGCCTTCAGGACGTTGAAGAATGGTAAACAGCGGTCTGTTAGCCTTGATATGAAGCGACTAAGCGCCGCTATTCGCCTGTTCAGACTCATGACCTGTTTTTTGCTGGTCGGGCTTTCCATATCGAGCAGAGCTTGAATCTTTTCGGGGTTTACCTCTATGCCCCGCTGATTGACCATATATCCCAGGAACTTTCCTGACGATACCCCGAACGAACATTTGAGAGGTCAGCTTCATTCTGTAGAGTCGGAGTATGTCAAACATCTCAGCGATGCGAATTGTCTGAGGCGACCTGGGATTTGACCAGCATGTCGTCCACATAGACCTCCATTGTCCTCCCGATCTGGTCAGAAATTCGTTGACCAACCTCTATAGGTCGGCCTGCGTTCTTGAGGCCGAAGGGCATGACTTTGTAACAGTAAAGCCCGATCCGTAATGAAGGTCGTATGCTCTTCATCTGGCCATACATCGGATCTGATTGTATCCCGAGTAAGCATCCATGAAGCTTAACAGCTCGTGCCCCGAGGTGGCATCAACGAGCTGATCGATTCTTGGCAGGGGGAAGCTGTCTTTCGGGCAAGCTTTGTTGAGGTCGCTGAAGTCTACACAGGTTCGCCACTTGCCATTTGGCTTTTTTACCAGGACCGGGTTAGCAACCCATGTCGGGTAGAGAGCCTCGCGAATGGATCCATTTCGGAGAAGGTTCTCCACTTCTGATTTTAGTGCGGCGTACCGCTCCGGATCCATCGCCCTCCTCTTTTGGCGAACTGGCTTCGCTTCACCGTTGACATTCAGTGCATGGCAAATAACGTCCGGGCTGATCCCGACCATGTCTGCGTGCGACCAGGCGAACACGTCAATGTTCTCCTTCAAGAAGCTTATCAGCTCGGAAGCGAGCTGAGGGTTGAGACAGCTTCCGATCTTTAGCGCTCGGCTCGGCTCTTCTGGATCAACTGAGACTTCGGACAGATCCTCAACCGGGCCGCTCGGGAGAATTTCCTGAATTCGCGGATCTATGTTATCCTCCGCCGGACCGGGCTGTGGCTCAATCCGGCTGATCGCCATAGCCTGGCGGGGCGCACATCGCGAAATGCACTTCCCTTTGTCGGCCATTTGGACCGATCTTACATAGCATTCACGAGATGCGCTTTGCGACCCGCTTACCTCCCCTATCCTCGTTGGAGTGGGGAACTTCATCTTGAGATGATAAATGGAAGTGACTGCCCTGAAGGTTCTCAGCAGAGGTAGCCCCAGGATTCCATTGAAGGCCGATGGACAGTCCACGACCAAAAATTCGGTAACCCTAGTCACCTCGTCGTAGTCGCCGAGCGTGACTGGTAGTTGGATCGTTCCATTGGGGATCAGGTGATCCCCTGTAAAACCGTACAGAGGCATCGAGGCTGTTTTCAGGTCGGCCTCGACCAGGTTCATTCTGTCGAAAGCGGATTTGAACAGGATGTTCACAGCGCTTCCGTTGTCTACAAGCATTCTACAGACATTATGACACCCTATCAGGGGCGTGATTACCAGAGCATCCTCGTGAGGATGGTGCAAGCGAGCTGCCTCTTTCTCTCAGAAGGTGATTGGCTCCTCTTTTCTGGCTTTCGGAGGTCGCTGCGAAGTATTCATTACTCTGATTGGGTCATGGCGCGCTTCGCGAACATATATTTCCTGCGCTCCTCGCGTGTTTCCCGCGAGGTGCGGACCTCCAAAGATTATGTTAACACTGTCGTACCCGCTGCGATCACGACGCTTTTTCTTTCGCTCCCCTTGGTTTTCTTTCGGGGAGTCATCAATGTACTCCTTGAAGTGTCCCTTCTTGATGAGCTCTTCGATAGCTTGTTTTAGAGCTCGGCACTCATCGGTGAGATGCCCATTTTCCCGATGATAACGGCAGTACTTTTTGTTGTTTCTAGCCGTAGCGGGGGTTTTCATTGGTTCAGGCTCACCGAGCAGGCTAGCTTCCTCGGATTTGTCGAGGATCGCAGATATGGACACATTCAACGGAGTGTATTGGGTCTCGTCGCTGTCGCGACGGGGGACAGGAGCATAGGACTTTTTCTGCTCGTAGCGGGGTTTCTTCCCTTTTCGCTGACCGTCAATGTCTCCCTTGCGATCAACTCGCCTATTGTCTCCCCGACCTGACATACTACTGGAAGTGCCGTGATCGCGACGGCGGAGTGCTGCCAGTGAGTTCTCTATTCGGAGATACTTTTCTGCCAGGTTATAGAATCTGGTGAGGGAAATATCGTCCTCAGCCTGCAGTTCTTTCCACAGTTCGGTTTGCGGGCGAACTCCAGCTATTATAAGAGTTCGGATGGACTCTTCTGGTGCGTGAGCCACTTTGTTGAGTTCCCTGTGGAAGCGGTCAATGTAGGACTGCAGGGATTCGTCTCTTTCTTGCCTTATGTTGCTGAGGTAGCTCAAGGGCATTGAAAATTTCCGATTGGCTTGGAAATGCCGCAGGAACGTCGTGCTCATCTGAGGCCACGAACCGATAGATCCCGCTGGGAGCGACCTGAACCAACGCTTGGCGTGAGAGGTCAGCGTCACGGCCAAACAGCGGCACTTTGCAAGGTCCGAAACCTGGTGGAGCTCCATCAGGTCGTTGAACTCATATAAATGATCCTGCGGATCATAGTTTCCATCAAACGGCCGCATATCTGGCATCCTGAATCCCGGTGGAAGTGGAGCAACTAGCACCTCGGGAGAAAAAGGGGATGCTGAGGCGACCTGCGCCTGTTCGTTTTGCTGTTCCCTTAGTCTATCCAGAGCTCGCTGGAGCTCCTCAATCTGTGGTAAAGGAGCCAAATGGGGGTTGCTTTCACCCATGCGAGCCCGACCTTCTCGGTTGCGGTTCAGGAGAGTTCGGAGGTCAGATTCCTCCTCGCCTCGGCCGGTATTTCCAGCCGCGCTCGACACACGCTGACTAGAGGCGCGTGAAGGTGATGGATAGTGCGGGGCATTTTCACGACCCTCGCGGTGGTACGAACCGCCCCGCGAGGTGTGGGGGCCACCCGCATGAGAACGATCGGGGTCGTTCTGCTGGTGGTGATAGGAATCATTGCGTCCAGCATTTTCGCTTGGGTTTGCCTGCGACGTGGCATGGGACAGCTCGGGATCTACTTTTTCACCGAGTCTCAGCTTTGCCGACACCCTGCTCGGGGCGCCTTTTGTATTCGCTGGCCCTTGGGAGCCCGTAGGCTTACTTTTTGCCACTTGCTTACCCTTGCGTTTACGCGCTGCAGTGCTCGTGGCACGGGCTATCGCCCTTTGCCGTGCTTTCACGCGACCTGCAGGCGTCTTTGGCGGTTGCACCGCTCCGGTTGTCGTAGATGACATGCCTTGGTCCAAACGGTCCAACCTCTGGTTGACCGTCTAGAGAGTATTGTCGAACCTCTCCAGGTAGCTTCTGATGGCAGGGTCCAGTTGCGGAGCTGCTGGGATATTCCCGGTAGCATTTTGCGAAACTGGAGGTATGTTGGAAGGGATGTCCCTCTGGGCTAGGGGGACTCCTTCAGCACGCTGGTTGACCTGCTCAGGTTCAGATTGGCGGGCCATTTGCTGCTGTAGGGCCAGTAGGTCAAAGATTATCCTGATGAAGGGTAGACACTAAATCAGGCCCTCCTTCTAGCGCCAAACTGTTGATGCTCGTTTTTTGCACCAACCAATTGTCACGTGGGTATTGCTATTTGACGAATTAACACACATGATAATGGATATATGAAGTGAAATAAATGCAAAGAAGACTTTTAAAGTGGTTCGGATGCTAAGGTAGCAAGTCCTACGTCCACTGATTTGTATTGATATTGGTGTGGGTCAGGTCGCGAAGCGGACTGACGTACATAAGAGTTATGAAAAGTAAGTGTTTTTTACAAGAGAGAGAGTTTTTTCATGTAAAGAATGGCCGAATCCCCTTAATGAAGAGGTCTTCTTCATTTTATATCAAACTGAAGCGTGTAATCATCATTAAATCCATGGGTTGGTGTGATTGTCAGGATATAATCCGGCTTTATGTCCCATTGCCCTCTTCCCAAGCTGACTTCGCACGATTTGCTGCAGAGAAACGGACGCGTGTGAGCTCCATATCATGTGGCAGGTCTGACGTGTGCGTGTTGCTCTGACGGGAGCAGGTCGCCCTTCACACGATTTTTCCACGTCAGCCCTTTATTTTCCCAGGCATAACAAGTACTAACATTACTAGTTGGATCATAGAAAGCAGCGTTAGCGGAAGTGAGCTGAGGCGTGTAGTAGTCAAAAGCCTGAACAGTAACCCAATCCAAGTACCCTTCCATCGCTTCTACAGGGAAGCTTCTTGAATCTAAACCTGGTTGAAAACGAACAGCTGCAGTCAATATAAGTTGTGCATGGCAAGAGTTTCCTGTCTCCAACTTGATAGCGGCTCGCCACTCTTAAAGAGAACTCCCATGTTGTACATATCAGAGCTAGAGTTTGCGGAAGCCCAACCAAGTTCCAGGCCCTGGAAGCCATAAAGCCCAGCCGTTCTCATTGAAGAATCAATGAAAGATTTTCTGAAAGATGAATAACTCACCATTGAAGAAAAAGTTGAATAGCTTGCATCTCCACCCCCAGTTGATAGAAGAGTCATGACTGATGGGTTCTTCTGTTTCACAGTATCTGTGAAACTGGAGAACTTTCTCTCATCAGACTCTGATAAAGAGAGTTCATAAGAAGATGAATTTACATCAGCAAAAGCACAATGAAGGTGTGTATAGAGAGCAGAATTTATGCGTAAACCCGGGAGCGCGCTGCGTGAATACCAGTAACGACCTTTAACCCAAGTTTCTGATTTTGCTGGGAAGAATTTTAGAGGGTAGATGACAAAGAACACTGCAAGCATAACTCTTTTTGGAGCCATTAATGAACTCAGATCAAATTTTGATGAGTTTATTTTGGAGAATATATGTGTGTGTGCGGGCCCGAAAATGCGTGCGCAAGTTCACTCAAAACAGTTGACACAGTTATGATTTATGAGTCAATGTGTGGACTTTGATCGAGGAACAGATTACGTTGCTTGCATGACTCAGATCCGAGACGTCATGAATATATCTTCCAATTCTTACATCATAAAATATTCAAGTCATAACCAAATGTGAATAATCTGTCTGCAATATATCATCCTTATGGTTCCAATATTAATGGAGGGCCTGAAAGCTCATTCCATGAAATATTTTGTCAATTCTATCACCGGGGAAAGGATCCCGTAATCTGTCCGCAACATATCATCCTTATGGTTCCAGTATTAACCTCTGCAGAGCTAGCACTTACAAATAAATTGGAAACTCTAGTTAATCTAATGTTGCCTCCTGAAAGTAGAATTAAATAACACAGACGGAACTGAATAAACTAAAACTAGCCCCGTTATTGTTTCAAACTTCAAGTAATAATAAGACCCTGCAACTTTTTGATCCCTGTCCTTGCTGGAGTCCAATTTGTTGATTCTTTTTCCTTTGCACTGCTGTAAAACATTAACATCTTTTACTTGACCAAGCATTCTATGGCAATTGGCAAGGCAACTAAATTAATCATCTATTGTCATTTCACTTCCCAACATTATAGCCGACATTGGGGGGTCTTATTTATTTGACTTCTTTAATTCTATGCTGTCAATTCTAATTTGTGTCGCGTGGAAGAAAAAGACCAAGACCTTTATATGTGATCATTTTAAAAAAAACTACAGCAAAATAAAAACAAATTTCAATAAAGACTGCGTGTGCATCATGTTAGAGTCATGTGACTATTTTAATGATAAAAAAATCCTTTGTGTAATTAAATTGAAGTTATATTAAGACAATTGAAAAAAATTTAGAATTATTAATGAAAAATCACATTTTAATTTTTTCCTACAATTTGTGCATGTTTGGAATGATTTTTGAGATGTTGGGAGTCGATATTAGGGTGTGATTTATTTATTAGGTTTGAATTTGCCTCATTTATTCTGTTCAGGGGGTAAATTGTCATATTTGTGGGCGTTGATTTTGTCATTTTTCATTCATGCAGGGACTGATTTGGATTTTCTAAACATGGTATAAAACAACATGAATAGTTCTAGATCAGGAGCGCCGCTCACTCCCAAACCACAGCTCCACCGACGACCCTTCCCCTCCCATTTCCAGTGACTTCAAAGCTCCCCCTTGCATCGATGTGATGATTTACCTCCCCTCACTGGCGACGTTTCAACATCCGATGGTTTTTCTCCCCTTTTTTGACGACCTTCCACCTTCCAACCAGAAGATCCATCATCTCCTTCACCTGATCGATGCAAGGGGAAGTTATGGAGTCGCCAGAAATGGGAGGGGAAAGGTCGCCAGCGGTGGAGATGTGTTTTGGGGGTGAGCGGTGCTCTTGATCTGGAACTATTCATGTTGTTTTATACAGTAGAACCTTTCTATACTCATAATGTTGGGACCAATTAAATTTATTATTATAAGGAGATTATAATTTAATGGAGGTGTAGTTACAAGAATTATTGTTTTGATTTCTTATTTCATAATTCATGTTTTAATAGTTATATTAGGATTTCAATTTATTGTTTTAGTAGCATTAGGATAATACCAAAATGGATATCAAAGAGTCATTGTAAAATTGAGTGATCAAATTCGACGGCTTCACTACACTGATCAAATAGATATCAATGTCTTCCTCAATAATCCAAATGAGCAACTAGTCGTGTATGCTTTAACTGAAAAAGAAATCACTATTGGAATTAGACAAGAAGATGAAGGAGATAATCTTGAGGATGATAGTACAGAAATACCAAAAATTTCATGCCAAGAAGCTCTAAACATACTTGAGAGCTAGAAATATTTTGGTTTCAACAAGAAGGTGTCCGTACTGATGGCTTATTATGTACCCGCAAGATAAAAGATATAGTAACAATGTTAAAACATAAATCATTGTTTCAAACAATTTTAGATAAATATTTTATTTTATCTTAAATCTTTAATATAACATAGCATATATTTTTTGTAATATGCATATAATTATTACCATGTAGAGGCAAGTTCCTTAAGACGAGACCTAGAAAAATTATAACTTATTACAATGTGAAATTTATTTTTATTTATAACTAGCTCAAGTTGGGACTGTATGACTACATGGAGATTATTCCTATTTAGAGTATCACTATTCACTATGGAGAGGTTCTAGTGTATGTTTGGAAAATTTTTGTCAGTCCCTACATGAATGAAAACTGACAAAATTAACCCCTAAAAATATGACAATTTACCCCCTGAACGGAATAAATAAGACAAATTCAGACCTAATAAATAAACCACACCCTAATATTGACTCACAACATCTCAAAAATCATTCCAAACATGCACAAATTGTAAGGAAAAAATAAAATGTGATTTTCCATTAATAATCCAAAATTTCTTCAATTGTCTCAATATAACCTCAATTTAATTACACAAACAGTCTTTTTATCGTCAAAATACAGTCACTTTCATAACTCCAATCACAGCACAGTTTTGGTCTCTTATTGGGTACTAGCATGGAAGGGAAGTTTTTCTCTTCGGATGTATTGAGAAAATATTTTTGCTATCGTTATAACTCCATTTTATTGATGGATATTAACCTACTAGGAGAGAATACAAATTCTCTTTTATTCATTTTATGAATTTCTTGTTATTATTGGCAGGTAAAGGTCTTGTCTTCTCCTTCAGCAGAGACTTGATCTGGTGGTTGATACGCATCTAATTAGATTAGACAACCTAGAGTTGATGAAGTTAGTATGCAACCAATGCAATGTACAAGCAAGTAAAACTAATACATTTATATGTGACCAAAAAAGAATGCAATTAAGCAGCACATACAATTATTGATATTAGAATAATTACCAATGTTTTGAAGAAAAATAATACATTTATGTGTTACCAAAAAACGATAAAATATAACTTGAATTAAAAAAAAAAAAGGTAATTAAAAACATATAATTTTATATTACTTCTAACCGGATATATTCCATAGCAAAATTTCTTTCTTCATTAAACTATCTTTTACTTTTAAAAATTATTTTAATTTTATTACAAGTGATATTTAAATTGTTTTGCCTAAAAAATCAGGGCTGATGCAAGCTTACATTAACGAGCACCAATCAAAGTTCAGGAAGGCTATGCACCGCACAGAATCTATCACGTCGCCCCAAGAAAGGAAGAATATAGATGTCACCAACCCAACTGATTCAAGTTATGTCTATGAATGAATTTGTTTGTACACTTGTCCAAGCCCCATATAATTTGAAGATATTTCATAAGTTACCAACCAATGGGATGCAAGGAATGATTTGCATGGCATCTACCCACTTGCAGACTTGTAATCATTACCTTGAACTCAACGGCTATAAATAGAGCCCCCTCCTCACAAAATCAGGACCAGACTCTCTGAATTCACAAAATACAAATAGCAAAGACAACCCACGGGAAAGAGACTAGCTTAATATTCTCTTTAAATACCAAGCTCTTGTAATTTTGTTCACTATTCGCGACCTATTGTAAACTTGGCTAATCACCAAGCACACTCATATAAAAGATACCAGTGGATGTAGGAATCACTTTAAGTATCCAAACCACTATAAAACTCTCATTGTCTCATTTACTATTAAGTTTTTACATGTTATTATGACCTTTAACCATATCTCAAAATCAATCTCGTGTAATTTCTAAGACCCTCTTAGGCACTTTGCATGTGCAAGGTCGTTGATGTCAAAATCACGCATCAACAGTTTGACACTAGAAGGAGGGCCTGATTCACATCAGCTCTCTGCCCGGTTTTCTCGACTGTACAATTAGTTTCACCTACAAAGGTCAACCATAAAAACTCATGGCTTGTGGTCTTGAAACCAAGCATGCTAGCACCAACAACAAAGAGATTCCCCACGATCAAAAGACTACTACTCCCGAAGTAGCTCCACCTACCCAAAGTACCAGAGGGGACATCCCCTCGACTTCTCAGGCAGATCTGGCTATGATAGGCTACCTGGAGAAGTTTAATAACACCCTCCAAACGATGAGCCAGAGGCTACATTATTTGGATCAGGTCATGCCACCAAATTCTGACAGGGTGGTACCACCTCAAAAAATGCTTGTAGGTCGCTCGAAAGTGTGGAAATGAGCAAAAACCCATACCATGCACACTATAACGTAGAGAAGTATAGGAAAACAAGTGGTTGAACATAGGTTGAAAGGCTCAAAAGGGCAAGTGAATGCTGGTCATGAGAAATGGAAAAATCCCTTGGCTTAGCGACTCGATAGTATGTCGCATCAAGAGCCGACCTATGCCATATTGCAAAGGCACCCCCACAAGAGTGCTCAGTAGGGAGATTCCTACTATCATCGGCATGATGGTTCTGACCATCACGGTGAGGGAAGTATCCACCATCAATGTGTCAGTTCTGACCACTGCAGAGGTCGAGAAAACTCCCCAAGCCATTCAGCACCTTCACAAGGCTTAGGCCAACATGTGTCAAGGCAGGCCGAAGGTTCTGACGTGGGCAGAGAAAGCACCGACTTGCGTTCTTTCATTAATCACAATCATAGGAAGCGTACCTACATTGCAGAAAGTGATCCCCATAGGGCTCTGCTTCCTTAAATAGAGGAGTTACAGAGAGCTTTGGATTAGCTTAGGGCTCAACAGAATGAGCAGAGGCAGGTTGCTGAGACATCTCTCTTTTCTCTAGTAGTTTTAACTGCTCCTCTCCTGTTAAGATTTAGAGTACTTGACATGAGGGCATTTGATGGGAACTCTGGTCCGCAAGATCATCTCTATGAGTTTAACAACCTCATAAAGCTTTACTAAGTTTCTAACTTGGCAAAGTGTCGTTGCTTAGCAGTGACCCTAATTGCCCACACTAAACAT